CTGCAGCAGCTGCAGCAGCAGCTGCAGCAGCTGCCCTTCTGTTCTCCTGCTGCTGTTGCTGCTCTAGGACTGATTCTCGGCAGCAGAAACTCCACAGAGGCTCTCCCGCTGCAGGCCCTCATTAAGGCCTTAACTGCCAGGTCCAGCTGCTGAGGCTCAAAGCGCAGGGCCTAGGGTTTAGGGTTTAGGGTTTAGGGTTTAGGGTTCAGGGTTTAGGGTCTTGGGGCTCAGGTCAAAGAGCCGCGTGAGGCGCAGAACTTGGGGTTTAGGGTTTAGGGTTTATAGGTCCACGCCAAAGCGCCTAAGGCTTAGATGGCTAGGTATGAGTTCAGTGTTTAGGGTTTGGGGTTTAGGGTTTCGTGTTTGGGGTTTTCTATGCTGCAGATATGCGCTGCTGCCTTCTGCCTACTATGAGCCCCTAGACACTGACTGGGCTCAAATTGTTGCAGCAGCAGAGAAGCAGCTGCTGCTGCCACCAGGTGCAGCAGCCGCAGCAACAGCAGCAGCAGCACGGGAGCCAGCAGCAGCACCAGCAGCAGCGCTAGCAGCAGCAGCAGCAGCACCATCCCTTACGGACTCCCAGGGCGAAGATGACACTGTGGCTTTTGTGGAAGCAGCAGCTGCGATAGAGCAAGCTGCTGCTGCATCTGCAGCAGCACACGTTGAGCTGGTAGCCTTCCACCTGCAGCAGCAGCAGCAGCAGCAGCAGGTGCTGTGGCTGTCCTGCGGCTCGCTGCCCTTCACCCCTATGCCGGACTTGCTGCTGCTGCTGGTAGGGCTGGTGCGGCTGCGCTGCAGCAGCAGCAGACTGCTGGAGTGCCTCAGCAGCATCCTGAGCAGCAGCAGCAGCAGCAGGCTGCAGCAAATTGAAGCAAGCCACCTGCCCACGCTGCTGGTTTGCCTTGCAAATTGCTGCTGGCTTTCTCTGCCGCCTTTAGAAACAATTTGCTGCACTGTGGAGCAGCAGCTGCTCAAGGTAGGTTAGGGTTTAGGGTTTAGGGTTTAGAATATCTGTGGGATGGAGCAGCTACTGCACTAGGTTTTGAGGTCTAGGGTTTAGGGTTTAGGGTTTAGAGTGTGGGCGTTTTGAGGAGCTGGCGGTTTAGGCTTAGGGCCTAGCGCTCAGGTTCTAGGGTTTCGGGTTTAGGAAATCTACTTTAGGTTCAGGGTCTGGGGGTGAGGGTTTAGGGTTTAGGGTTTAGGGTTTAGGGTTTAGGGTTTGTGCGCAGCTGCTGCCCCAAATTTCGGACGCCGAGCTGCCCCCGCTGCTGTGGGGTTATTTGTCGCTGCTGCATGCGCGGCAGCTGCTGGCAGCAGCAGCAGACTCGGCAGCAGCAGCAGACTCAGCAGCAGCAGCAGACTCAGTAGCAGCAGACTCAGCAGGAGCCATCGCTGAAACAGCAGGAGGAGGAGCAGCAGCAGCAGAATCCGCAGCAGGAGCAGTAGCAGCAGTAGGAGCAGCAGCGGACGCAGCAGCAGCAGCAACAGCAGCAGACTCAGCAGCAGCAGCAGCAGCAACTGCTGCTGCTGCTGCTGCTGCAATTCCCCTGCCGCCTGCGCTGCTTGAGGTGCTGTGGAGATTTGTAGGCAGCGCGAAGGCCCTGGAGAGTCACCATCTTCATTTGCTGCAGGTAATGACAGCAGCAGCAGCAGCAGCTGCTGCTGCTGCTGCTGCCGGTGGCAGTAGCAGAAGAAGATGAAGAAGG